ACAAGCGAAACATCAAGATTGGCATCGTCGCCCTCCGCACTGTCAGTAAATGGACCGACAAAGCTGCGCTGACGCTCGAGAAGCTCGAGGGCCAAGAAGCGTCGAAGCACTGCCAGGATCGCCAGGCGCGCTTGCTCGCAGAGGATGGCAGTAAGGGCTACGGAAAGCAAGTCCAAGGTACTGGGGTATGGAGAGATACCGTAGTATATCCGGTACCTACCCAGGTTGGTAGTGCTAGGGGGATCGAAGCACACGAACAGCCAAGGGTGTACGGAGCACCAGCACCCTCCACTACGGGAGAAAGCCACATTACGGCTAGCGTTGTGGAGGCACCGCTCGTTCAGACTCATCATGCGCATGTCTTGGCTTCCGTCGAGGAGTACTATGACGAAAGTAGTGATGACGAGGAGTGTGGCAGTACCTCTAGGCAGATCGGTCTCAACAGCCCCACAAACGTTGACACAGATGAAGATACCGATGAGGAAGATACTTCCGATGATTCTAGCGACGATGAGAAGGAGGATGACAGCGAAAACGAGAAGGAAAGCAACGAAGACAGCGATGACGACTCGGATAGCGAAGAGCACGATAGTTCAGATGATGCTGAGGATTCTGAGGAGGAAGAAACGGAGGCAAAGCATCCGATGGTCGTGAATGCCAAGTATTGAGGAGACGAAGAACGGAGGTAGAGGTGATTTAGGTTTCTCGTATGTGAAGAGGACGCGTTATTGAACGATGCAGCCTTGAGGGCCATAAGGGGCGGGCTTTGACGTAGACTAAAGATTCGAACGGGGAATGACAGCAGTGGCATAAATATACCTATACATAAAGTGTTAACGCATGGCTGTACTTATTCTGGGAAAATTGCGACTTTCTAGTACTCCAGGGCCTCACTAACCTCCAGCACTGACGTAGGAGACGCCAAACGGAGGGATATATACTAGCTTAGATGTTTGGAATAGAGTCGAATAATTATGTTCGGCTATGTGGTCGAAATAATCCGAAGGGCCGAAGTGAACTGCACGTCAGGCAGCATTGGTTCGGCACATATGCCGTAAGGTTTACACAATGACGTACCTGTGTAACTGCAACAAAAAGCCATCGCGAAAACCTCCAAACAGCTTTTGTTTGTGGGATCTTTGCTTATTCCTTACTGTACCAACCGATAAGTATCAGCGAAGTGGCAGTAAAGGCAACCAGTACAGTAGTCCGATGAAAGGAAGTGAAGGTGTCTAGGTAGGCTACCTAGAGGCTACCAACGGCACTTCGCAAACACCCCATAGCGCGTCACTCATCCCCTCCCACCTCACTTGCACGCCTTGGGCGAGTTTTACGTTTGTGTTTTCATCCCACGTGCGCTCTAGCCCGAAAGTCGTTGATCGGCTTTGCCCTGCATTGTTCGCTCAGTTCGGTCCCACCCACATCCTCCTAGCAACGCCCGCATCCTCGCAGTCAACACCACGACTGTCAATTGCGAAAATGTCAACACACTTTCGCCCGCGCGCGACTACGCCTGGCCCGCCGAGCCCTACACGTCCATCGACGGCGCGCTCCACGATTCGCGCCATCTCGCCGTCGCCGCCACCGAGTTTTGATGAGGCTTCGCGACAAGATTCTGCGACTACTGGGTCACCGAATGTTGAGCTCCACAGTGCATCAGAGAATGCGAAGGTACGACCAAAGAGCGATGGATATCCGCGAGCATACGTGCATGGTTCTGGTCGTGAAGAGTCAGACTTCGCCGACTACACCACAACAACAGGGAACGGTAACTTCGGAAGCTCTCCCGCAAACATCACTGCCAATGTCACCATCAAGAGAGGCGGCGGAATGATGACAAGGCGGTCGCCGGTAAAGCGCGGTTCCAGATCAACAAGTCCGAAGAAACGTCCGTACAGTACGCCAACAGAGTTGTCTTCGCACCGCGAGTCGACATCGCGTGACCAGGACGACATGCCAGCTACCAACCCGCGAGACGCAGAGATCCAAGCAGGTGACTACATCGACAGCGACGCATACACCGACTGCCCAGACACACCCACCCCGATGACAAACTCCCAAAAACGCTCCGCCTATCTCCCGCTCGGAACTCCGACGCCCTTCCCAAAGTCCACGCGTTCTTCCAAGCCCAAATCCAGATCAAGCCTTCCTCGTGCCACCCCTACTACTACCCCCACAGCACCGACACCAAAGCTCGAATTCTTTGAGTCCTTCGACGAGCAACCATCCTATGGCTCTGGGCTTTTCAACACGGACCATCCTCAGATGTATGTTGGGCCAGAAGACAAGCTCATGGCGTTCTACACCCAGACTGAACGTCGGAAGATGCGCGAACGGGCACTCGCAAGGGCTGCGCAACCGGAGAAGACGGTGCTTGGTACCCAGACGGGCTACGCGACAACGTCAGATCACCCAGCAAACGACGCCTTGGTTATGCAGCAGCCACTGCGAGAGGAGGATATTCGTGCGCGCATGCATCTCGCCCCTCCACAACAGACCACGGAATCACCGCCTCGGGAGCCTATGTCAGATGCGGCTGGCAACGTAGCGCGACACGTCTCGCCATCCGAGGGCTCATATGTCTCCGGCGGAACAGTCACTAGCAAACGCTCTGTCTTTAGCACGCCTGGCAGAGACGAGCTTGAGAGGAAGAAGGCGATTGTGGAGACTGACGATGGACCATTTGCTAAAGCAGTGAGCATGGCAGATCTGAATGAGAGACGTAGGGTGGTCAGTGAGGAGGGAGTACAAGGTGTTCGAAGAAGCGAGGATTTGGAAGCAGAGGGCATGCAGAAGAAAAAGAAGGAGGGTAGGACTTGTGGAATGGGGATTGGATGCAATGTGATGTAGAGATTGTCAAAAAGCTCGGAGGTGTTTGTTTAGACTTTGCATCGATGCGATGGAGGATGGTTCTGAACCGTAATATGAACGACAGCAATGAGTAACGATGAGGCTACTAGTTTGATGCTTAGCATAATATTGTAAAGTAACAATGAAACTGAAACTTCTCTGACGCGTGTGACAGAAGTATATCGCGAACAGACAGTGAATGCGACCACTAGCGAGCGCAACCGCAATACACTTTCGTTTGCCTCTTCGACGTCCAACTCTTCACTCGTACAACCCACTCTAAAGATCGCGACACATTAGCCGCAAAACATCACGCAATGGATGCCGCGCTCGATCGAGTACAAGCGCCGTACATGCTCGACAGCCTGACCGCCGACGCGCAGCGAATATCAGCGAGCCTGCCACCGGACGGCTGGAATTCAAGCTCCGCCCTCGTTGGCCTAAAGCGTGACGTCAGTGGGGTATCGGTCGTGGTGAGTAGCACAACCCCTAGACGGGTAACTTTGTCTGTATCAGCTGCTAACCAAAGGCTCCGTGAAGCCGTCAATAGCTGCGGCGGGCGATGCCAACGATGCTGAACATGCGCGCGGTGGGCTTTTCGCATGGCTCCGGCGATTAATCCGCACCGCTTGTCGTCGCTTCCGTAAACGCCACAAGAATGCGAAAGGCTCCTAACCAAAGGGCCGGTGGATGTTGAATACTCCTAGCGATCAAAGAATAAGACATTGGTATGTGTAGAATGCGTTTTCGAAAGTCGAGCTAATAGCGCTTCTTAGATGAAGAATCGGCCGCGATGTCGAGTGCCTGTAGGATATCGGTACCGAAGACGACAGTCATGTATGCGGGGAAGATGACCCAGAGACCACTGCGAAATCAGTTAGCTTTTATGTACATTCTACCACGAGGCGCAAACGTATGCAGGAGTCCGACTTACTTCATGACAAGGTAGAAGACCAAAAGCGTTGCCCAGTCGTTATGGCGAACGTTTGCGAAGCCAGAGAAATACTCATTAAAGTCTACCATCGTTAGCCTGTGTATTGCCCGCATGTCGGATGTATACGTACAGTAGAGGACCGTCTTGCTGACTGTCATGACTGCTGCGGCGAAGCCGATGAGGAGCGCGCGGTTGCCAGTCTTGCCGCGTACCTTCCTGCCGCCAGAGAGGAACTTGCCCACGCCCTCGCTGAGCTGCAGGCCAGTACCTCCAGATGTAGGGACACTGTGGTTGTATATGATCATAGCGTAGAGGCCGTATAGCACAAGCTCCACAGCGTTCAGCATGGCTTGCGCGCCGCCAAACCCATCATGGTTTTCCCATCCGGGCCATCCGTATACGTGATCGATCGAAGCGTAAATCTCATACGGCTTCCAGATGGGCCACTGAAGCGCGCCACCAGCCATGGTATGTGGGCGCAGAAGAACATATAGCGTGTCCCATAGCACAAGCGGGATCGAAATGGCAAGCCAAACTATCGTAAGATTGGATGCCGTGTGGCACCACGTCGGCTCGTCGATTTCGGATGGAGAGGGAGGGCTGATTTCGGCTTTGGCATTGGAGATTGCGCGCCTCGCAAGCGACTTTGGTGGCGGTGAGGTATTGAGGTCTGGGGAGGTGGGCGCCGGGGACGCGGTCGAAGTTCGTGATCTTGGCGTCTTTTTGACGGGTGATGGTTCCGTGGCAGGGAAGTCGCCTTGCGGATGCGAGCGCGTAGACACCATGGCGATGAAGAGAGATCAAGACGGCGTGAAGAATCTGGGGTTCAGCAGCAACTGCGAGGAGCGCAACGGAGGGGAGAATGTAACGTGTCGCAATGATGCAAAGGATGCTAGGGAACTAGTGGAGAACGGCTTCTGCTTTAGCCGGGCGGGGCTGTACCTGAGACGGGAAGGCTCGACAAACAGAGTATAGTGCATCTCGCCCTGGCATGCACAGGCTGTAGCACGATGACAACACACTCATAGACAAACTAGAAATTTTTATAGCGCTCTGCTTTAATAGGTAGGGACCGACTACATACTCCAAGCTAAAACAACACATCCTCTAATCACTACTTACCTAGGCATTCCCCTTCGACGAAGCTAGGCTTGTGGAATCACCCCAATCAGCCAGAAAGCAACGCTTTATCCTTCACTACCTAGGTAGAGGCTGCTCAAGAATGCTTGATAGTCCACCTAACGGTTGACTGTCCGATGCCAATGTTGTCGCACTCCGTCTGCCCCTGAGAGGCAACGACGCCACCAGACTTTGTCTGTCAGCAGAGAACCTGGCGCTCGATCAGGAGAGCTAGAACGTACCTGCCACCTGTTGAGAGCAAGCTCGGTGATGTCCGCGATGTTAGAAGACCCAATCCAGGTTTCATAGATGTTCCGGGTACCCGCTTCGAAGACACAGGTACCGTAGTACAAGACGCCATGCGTGTCGGGAGTGTTGTTCCAAACGCCCCACCAGGTGTTCTGAGAGCGGGTGTCTGGATAATGGTCAGTTCATTGCTCAATCGGACACAACTACTCTAGAGTGATGAGTTCCGAGTCTTGATGGCTTACAGTCACGGATCACTGCACAGTCTGCGGTGTTGGCGAAAGGAGCAGGATGGGGGTCGAGAGTGGTGCCATCGCAGGTATCAGAGTCAGGGGAGTCACTGAGCAGAGCTCGCGTCGCCACCTCACCGGGGTTGACAGACATAGCTACTGCTGCACTGTTGAGATAGAGGGTCTTGCCATTGAAGTCGATCGGTACCCATTGAATCGCGGCATTAGCGGCAGAAAGGGGCTCCGGAGCTGGAGCTGGAGCCGCAAAGGCCAGAGGAAGTAAGGCCAAGGTGGAAAGACTGAAGAGTTTGGAGGAGATCATGTTGAATAGTGAGGATTGGTAACTGTCGAGTTTCAAGTGCTTGATGATGCTGTTGATGTTGGTGCGAGATTTCTCTAGAGCTGGCAACGTCTTATATAGAACAACATGAGCAAGGGACTCTGTCTTTGAAGACGCAATACAGGCCCGAATCTTCGTTGCAGGTAGGCTTTCCGATCTCACGCTGCACTCTGCCAATGGTCTAGATGCTAGACAGTTGGTGGTCGACCTCCAGGAGTGCCCCGTGTCTGCGCGGAAGTTGAAGTAAGCTTCATATCTGTGCAGGAATTTATCGTTTCTACGCAGGTCAGCACATCAGTGCTTACAAGGTCGTCTTCTTCTAGGCGGTAGGGTGGCTTTTAGGCAGTGACTCTGACTGAACTACGTTTGAGAGTATTCGGGATCGGTGTTGCAATATCAATGACATGATGTCAGAGCCTATCATGATGTCTGCTTTCATAGCTTCGCGTTACACTGTTCTCATCGTGATAAGTCTAATCGGTGACGGAACCATTTCAGGGGGCTTGAAACGGTGAATGGTGACGGACTTCAAATCCGATTTTAACCTCAGAAGAAGGCAGCGATGACAGCGCCCCTGCCCTCGTATCTAGCATGCGCGTAATACTGGCGCAGAGAGGGGATCATATAATCACTTTGGGCATGTCGCGCATGCCGCGGTCCGGCGTGAAGGGGAAGTGGGCGACCCGGAGCTCATCCGAGTTGTACCAGAACAGGGGAGCTTCCCGAGGCCATCCTCCCCTCTCGCCTCTCGTTCTTTGTTAGACGCTTCGGATCTCGAGATTTCTCTCCATATAGTCTTGTGATAGCCAGGTATCGAGAGATGTGATGTGTCGAGTATCTGAAATCATGTTTGAAGTCTGACATCATGCCAGACCCTGTTACGACTTCAGCTCTGACATGCTGCTGCAACTTTCAGCTGCCTATCCCAAAGCATGCCTGACCACCAACTTTAGGCGACGCAATGAGTTCACAATGACGGGGAGCCTATGGGGCGCGGTACGGGACCACCCTTAGTCCAGCTTGCCATTCGAACAGCCCAGTGTTCATGCACTCAGATCTACACACCACTATTACTCGTTGAGAAGATGAAATCTCTGTCGTGCTTCCAGGTACATAGGATGGAATCTGACTCACATGCATATTCTCGGGCCAGGACTGTATATCGGCTTGGCACAGACGGGCCTAGGCTCCGGCATGTCCAAAAAGCCTCGCCGCTAACCGCTTGAACCAGGCCTTCGGTATACGAGAGTGCGAGTCTGTGAGAATAGTTGCGCGCGTAGCGCGGTCGACGCAAGTCTATAATTCCTGGTAATCATGGTGCTGGTGTAGGAGCTCTCAAGGCTTTACGCCGACACGCCGACCAACCTCCTGAGGCCTTACCTACTTGGGTATGTAGCGCCTTGGCGAGGCTGCGCCGCATCCATGGATCCAACTCCAGGGCTTTCTCGGATCCATTCACACGCTGCCTCGACTGGCGTTTACACTCATGCTCATCGCGTCAAGTCATTGTGTGCAATTTATATCGCCTTCTGGTGCGTCGTTGCAGCTCAACAGCGCGACGACGGAACCACGGCTTTGATGTCGTTTCTCCTCCGCGCGGGCGAGGTTCTCAAGGGCCGCATAGGCAGTTACACGATCACCAAGCAAGTCTCACCGACACTTTGGTTTGCGAAGTGAGGCCCGAATATCGCCTTCTATGCCTTGGCCACTGACAACTATGCAAGGGACCAAGGACAAAGAAGAGTGGTGATCAAAGGCGGACCTCCAACGGTGCGAGTAGAATGTGATGCACTCAAAATGTTCCAGCATTGCCCTCATATCAGGCCAATGGTAGACGAGGTGTATGGGCCACCTGCCATGCCTCCGCTTATTGCCTTGCGGTATCTCGACAGTGATGTCCTAACTGCATCGATCGAAAGGAAGTTGAGCCGAGAGGAGCTGAAATATGTAACTCGGAGGTTGTTGCTAGCTCTGAATACTCTGCACGAGAAAGGCTATGTGCACTCAGGTACGTATGCGCAGTCCATTGGTTGAAGTAAGTGGACCGGCCTGACAGGACGACAAGACATCAAAACCAACAACATCTTCTTCAATTCTCAGGAGGGACCCAACCGCTTCGCTGATGTTCAGCTCGGTGATCTGGGCGACTGTTGTACGGTGGACTCAGAGCGGGCTCGATCTGGAAAGCTTGTGGGTGCGCCTGTGTGGTCTAGTCCAGAGGTTATCCTAGAGATGCCTTGGAACACCGCAACAGATATATGGTCGTTTGGTACCGTGGTATGTGTTAAGATTCGGCTAGAAGTTGTCATAAAGCATAAGCTGACTGTCCACTCATCAGGTCATCAGTCTAATCTACGGTGGAGATAGGAATTTGTTCCAGCCGCAAGATGTAAAGCGCGGTGAACAAGGGTACCTGTTAGGTGTCCTCGAGCGACAGTTCCGCTATTTTGGACCCTTTCTTCCACCGTTTATAGAAATGGGTGACGGAGGGATCGCCCAAATCATACAGTATTTGATGGAAACGATCCCGTATGGCGAACTAACACCGTTCGCGTCTGTCACGGAAGGACAAGTGGCGAAGAAGGACAGGAATTTCATCTCGAAGATTATGCAGCTTGATTGGAGAGATCGACCTACGGCCAAAGAACTTTTGGAGGATGAGTGGTGGCAAGACGACTGAGATAGCTTTGGTTTGTAAGGCGTACTGGCATCACCACCTGTACGATGTGGATTATGTGTTGTACTATACACTGTACTGATGGTAGAAGTACTAGATATCTCCACTCAACGCTTGCGACCCCACTCGGGGTTCGCCCTCAAGGCTCCGATATCGTGAAAGAGGGCTACAGAAAAGCACCACCTCGCTTGCTAGCGCTCTGTTTAGCTCCATCGATACATCAAGACTATTGCATCGGCTACAGGTAAAGTTGGCGTCACATTCACGTCCGTACCTATCACCATCAACCATGGACATCACTGGGCTCGATCGCGCTACCGGCAGACTGGTCATCCAGATCAGACTAGACGAGATTACAGAAGCGCTCGAAGGCGTCCAACTGGACGACAATGGTACTGCGAGCTATCGCGCTATTCGTCACACGCTTCAAGATCAACTATCGATCATTTATGGCCAGGTATGCTATTCTCCGACAACTGACCGGACACTCCATGAACCTGCGATAATCCCATTACGTTGAATGTATTAAGATACTGACATATCAACAGGATACTGATGACGAAAGCGACAACGGCGACGAAGCAAGACGAACGCCATCGAGATCAAGCAGCGACACCTCCGCGAATAACTCCGACGACGAAGGCGTCGTAGCAGAGGAAGCAAGTCCCACACCAGGACTCATCGAGGTGCCGGTGTCAGAACCGGAGTCAGAGTCAGAACCCGAGCCGGTACCAGAGGCTACTGCCGATTGCGGTGCCTGCGGTGATACAAAGCCCGAGAAGGACACCATCAAGCTTGAATGCTCCCATCTCTACTGCAAGGACTGCATTATAGATCTGTTCCACTTCGCTGTCCACAAAGACACCTCACTCTTCCCGCCTCGATGCTGCAAAGCCACCATCCCACTCGACACAAACGAAAACGGGGTAAAGGGCTGCAGTGTTCTACTACCTGAAGTACTATTGACCGAGGTCAATGATAAGAAGGCGGAGCAGGAGAAGGCTCAAGAAACCCCATGCTCTGGTGCGGATTGCGACCACGTTATTCCGAAAGGAAACATCAGTGGTGGCGTTGCGACATGCGATCTTTGCGAAACCAAGACGTGTACGGTATGCGAGGACGAAGCGCATAAAGGATTGTGTGCTGAGGATGATGACACCAAGATATTGATGGCCACAGCTGGAAAGGTCATGTGGCAACAGTGCACCAAGTGCAAGAATCTGGTCGAGCTAGACACTGGCTGTTTCCATATCATGCAAGTGCAGCGCGCGAAATAATCACAGTTTGACTTGCTAACTTATCTAGTTGCCGCTGCAGTCATCAGTTCTGCTACATGTGCGGCGCCACATGGAAGACATGCATGTGTCCGCAGTTCGACGAGGGTCATCTTCTGAGGCCGACTCCTACCGATGCTCTAGACATGGCACCGACTGTCTGCCAGCACGTGTGGAAACAACATGAAGGTACCGCATGTGCGCGATGTGAACGTACCGATCTCTTGTCCGTCATGCAATGCACTCGCTGCCACCTTGAGCAGTGTAGTCGTTGCGTGAACAACAGATAACAGTCTGGATCTCGTTTCAGAATGGAGGAAACCGTTCTTACAGCGGATGAGGAGTTGATATGATTAAAGAGATCTTGGTACATTCCTGGCTCGATAGCATGGCGAAAATGCAAGGGCTCTGGGCTGATCAATCTATACATGCTTAGGTGGCGGTCTGCGTCATTGATGCTAAATCTCTGGGGCATTTTCTATTTCCCGACCCTCTTCACCGAGATCGGAAACTTAAAATACGCGAGTAAATATACACACGAATGATATTGATGTTGCTTTCGTTACGGTTGTTCCTGCAAGTCACCCAACTTGTCGTTAGTGCCTTGGCGATCGACATGACGGCGGGAGTCCAAGGACTGCGCCGCACAAAACCTTATGTGCCATGTCTTCTTCATCCGCCGAAATATCACCCAAAATGAGACGATAAAGCTGTACGTATATACAGTCTAATACCGCTAACCTGGGCTTCTCGGGTCGATTTCATCATGTCGTCTCTTTTCCGGGTCGGCCAAGTTCTCAAGGGTAGCATCGGGACGTATACACTCACTCAAGAGCTCAAAGAAGCTGTGTGGCTTGCTAAGTCTGTGTTATGGTGACATCAGAAATACATAAACCTCTAACGGCCGCCAGAAACCAAGCGCAAAAGCTGGCGGTGATCAAGGCCCAGCAGGGCCACCATGGGGTTACGAACGAGCGAAACGTTCTCAAGAAACTTCAACATCGCAGCCCCTACATTAGACCAATGATCGAAGAGATCCAGGGCCCAGATCTCCCCGTCACAATCGCTTTGGAGTATCTTGACACCACCATTTCGGAGGCGTCCGCGGAAAAGGCATTGAATCGAAAAGAATTGAAGCACGTTTCGCGCAGCGTCCTAGAGGCCCTAAAAAGCCTTCATGATGACGGATATGTACATGCGGGTATTCATTATCTGCCGCTAGTAACCAAATATTGGGGCTGATTATACTCGAAGATCTCAAACCTGACAACGTCTACGTCAACCTGCAGAAAGGCGACAATCGATTTAGCGAGGTCAAACTTGGCGACATGGGGAATTGCTCTCATGTCACCAGTGCAGGTCCTACTTCTGGGACTCCGTGTGGCGCACCAACATGGGTAAGCCCAGAAATTATTCTGCAACTACCGTGGAATACAGCTGCAGATATCTGGGCGTTTGGACTACTGGTAAGACACTCCATATGATACGTTTCGGTCTCATCTCGAATAAATCCGACGTTGCTAGGCTGACGACTCCCGTGATTAGTTCGTGCACATGCACTACGGCTCTCACTTCAACCTATGCGTACCCCAGGGCCAAAAAGCTGAGGAGGATAGGGAAAACCTGCCCTTGCATGTTCTTCTGCGACAATTATACTGGTTCGGGCCGTTTCCAAACAAGACCGTCGAGATAGCTGATGAAGAGATTACTAAGACGCTAGCGTCTCTGAAGAGGAACAATCTACCAGCGCAGCAGGGAATGTTCAAGGTCATCTCAGAGTTGGAGCTGTCAAGGAAGGATAACGAATTTGTCCGTAGAATAATGAAGATGGACTGGAGGGACAGACCGAGTGCGAGAGACTTGTTGGAAGATGAATGGTGGGAAGACGAATGGTGGGAAGACGAATGGTGGGAAGACGAATGAGGCTGGGCTGATGACATATTGTAGACGACAGTGGCATTCGCACTTTGGATGTGATACGTCAACGGGGTCATGAGGGATGTATAACACTTTCACTGTACCATAACTTACTTCACTCACCACAAAGCGCCCTCCGGGCTTGCTCCCCTCCTCCACACAATCACAATTGTCTTCACCAGGCAATCAACAACGTCATAAATACTTCCCTTCCTAAGATCTTGTCTTTGCTTATCATAACGCAACCAGCCAGCTTCTTCAAGAAATACAAGCTCTTCGAAGGTCAACAACGCGATGTCTTACCCACCCAATAGCCCCGAGGTCGTTCGTCGCCACCCCCAACATGGCATCAGGACCGCGAGCGAGATCGGCGCTTTAGCACCTCAATCGCGCTCATCTTCTTCGATGGACGTTCACACAATCACCTGCGCGGAGAATGACTGCAACAACAAGCTTGATGTTGTACCACATGGACACCATACTGGGTCAGTCGGCAAGGACAGTGCGATATATATCAAGGCTAGGTGCAAGGAATGTGAGCCGCCCGTGACTGTAGCGAGCTGGTGGGAGGGATACGAGAAGAGCGAGGAAGGCAGTAATGATTGGAATGAGGAACTAGGCGATTGGGCCGATGAGTTCTGAGAGGATGCGAGAGAATGACGGGTGGGGATGGTAGACACAGCCGCACGATATCCGATCAAAGGCATTCGATGTATCAGTAAAAGCATAGGGGTTTAGAGATTGGATTGGATTAATACACATCTGTATCTACCATGCATTCCAATGTCACTTTATTTTGACTTCTACATGCCCGGTAATTGATACCCTGAGGAGGAGCAGGAAGAAGGATCGTGCTAAAACACCTGAGTCCCTGTGCAGGCTTCTCTTCACCGCTTAGATGTCTTGGTCGCCTAATAAGATGCTGTTAGTCTCTTTTACGCGCCAGGTTACAGCCAGTGAAAAGATACTGTCTGTAAATCCGAGGTGAAGGCAAAGGCTACATTCGGCGGTCTTCTAGCGGGTGCGAGTGCGCCCTCGAAGCAGCTCCGCCTCCTCCGCAGTGACGGTCATCAGGCCTGAGCCCTTCTCATCCATCTTCTTCCTCAGCGACTCAGCAGCAAGTCGCTCTCTAGCAATGCGCTCGTGCTTCTCAGCCTGGTTGCGCTCCCAACGCTGGCGGCGCTCTTTCTCACGCTCTTTCTCCCGGTCATCGACCTGCTTCTTCGCCATACCGCGGAAGAAGTTATCAGCGGACTCCATAGCATTCCTCAGGCGAGTGTGCTTCTCCAAGAACGCCGCAAAGTCTTCAGGGTCGGGTAAAAGGCGTTTGTGGCGATCGTGACAAAGGTGGTTGACCATCGCGGTCCAGAGTGGGTCTTTGTCAGACGTGGCGTTCTGTTCGACGGCAATGATCTCTTCGTAGCTCGGAAGCTGGGTTTTGAGGTACTCGACGTAGCCGGCGTGGATATGGCTGCAGTAGCGCTCCATACCTAACAGGCGAGCAGCGCGTAGGAGAGCAACGTCTTCACCGAATGTCTTCTGAGCCGGGACAGCGTAGGCCTCGAACTCGTTGCAAGTCTCCTGCATCCAGCCGATGAGTAGAAGGCGGACTGCGCCGGGGTGTATCTGACCACGTGAGAATACATACTCATGTGAGTGGGGGTTAGCGGTGAAATGTTTGTGGAGAACAGTAGAAGCAGCCATTGCTGCGCGCTTGGAGATACCCTCAACGGATGTATCTCCAATGCGAATGGTGACGCGAGGGCCTTGGAGAAGAGCTTGACGCTGCGCTCGTATCATCTCGAGCAGGTTGTCGATAGGCTGATCTATGACGGTGGAAGACGGCGATAGGGCTGACTGCTTTACTGCAGTCTTTGGCTGGGGCGGGACATCGGCAGCCTCGGAGACAGGAGAGAACGACGGCGGGGTCGGCTTGGGGTCGGATCCGAGATTAGTAGCGGGCTGAATGTTGATCTTGGCAGGAAGTGGCTCTTTGGGCAAAGAGGCAGTCGCAGAGGCGTCAGTGTCGGCGATGCTGACGGCCTTAACGGTCAAGTCTTCGCCCTGATCCGGTATGACGTTCTTGGTAGTATCAGCAGGCTCGGCGGAACCAGCCTGCTCAGTAGAGGAAGCGGTGTTTACGTCCTTGAGGAGTGCCGCCTTCTTAGCAGCCCTGTTGCGACGAGCACGCGCAGATTTAGACATGGATTGGCCTTGAACAGCTGGAGATGGCTCACTACATGTGGAGTCAGTATATGAAGTTATTTCAATGGTGATTGAAACGTACGATAGTTCTCCAGCTAAGTGACTGCTTGCAATGTCCGTGGTTGCCATCGCAAATACGATGATGATGCGGCGCAGACCGAGCGATTTGACGTGGAACCGCGTCTGTTGGTGGGAGAAGAGAAGACTTGTTCTTACGAAGGAGTAGATTTGGGGCAGAGTCCAGTACTTTTAGGCAGCGAGCTCGAGGCGCGGTTTATTTACATGCAAACGGACGGGGCCCAGTGCACGTGACTACCTAGGTAGGCAGGGACCCGAGCGCAAAACTGTCGCACAACGCGAGGAAGCCGGATTGAATGAGGAAAGAGCAATGCGGGGTGGTCCTAATCGGGGCCCTAGAAGATCATGAATATCGCCCTCATCGGACTACTCGTGCCCGTTTTCATACTCCTGGCTCTCTCTAGTTATGCTGATGTAGCATCTCATCGCAGCTTTCTTACGCATTTAGAGAAGGCCATCGCGGCTGTTGAACCGTGTGCCTGAAGCGTTATAACTATTTCTGAATTGCAACTGGTCAATGATCTAAAGGGCTCGTTACCTGATTTGAAGTAGGCGTATTGTGGCAACGTGTGGCTCGTAGTAAAGCGTCATCTTCATTCAGACGGCAGAAGACTCTTGTGGAACGCGTATAAAAACAATGAGTATTTGAACACGATGAACGACTGACTTTTCAATGACGACTGGGGATCGTGAGAGAGTGTTGAAGTGAAAGAGTTGTCGCGCGTGTCGGACGCGTGCCCGCTCGGTACAGGACATAGCCCCGGCCGAACTTACTCCGGATGACGCGATTCCTGAGCAGCACTCTTTGCTCTCCACCCTCAAGAACGCCGTCATAGTCGCAACGGGCTCTAGCAGACGCGACTACGTGCACAAAACCCAAAGTGCCTATTCCAGCTTCTGAATTCAAGTACTTCACTTCCTCTCAGCCCATCCGACGCGTCAGACATCGAATGGCGTCTGGTCGCTGGCTGACACTCGCATACGGAGACTGACGACCGCATGGACTGAGCCCCCATCAGCCTCAAGTCATGCGCCTAATTAGGAATAGGAACCCTTTTCAAAATTGCCGCGTCTCAGCAACCGATAGAACCGCCATCTTCGCTCTATGCCGCAGCCCGATCGTCTCTTCAGACAGCCTCGCGTCCTCCCAAGAGCCACAAGCTGGTACCGACAAGAACCTCTAGAACACCAACATGCACGCTGCGACTATCACCGAACACTCGCGCATACCAACACCACTGTAGACTGTAGAAGTACGGCTGTTGTCGAGGTAGATAAAAGGGTCCAGCCGGTCACAGAGCTTTACATGCAATTGAGGGGAGCATAGTCTGAAGCTCGCTTGGCTGCCGGCCACACAACACATCGTAATCCACGAGGATACGGTGTCGTCTGTGGCCTTCAGGATCATAGCCGTAGCCCACCACCAGTATCGCACAGACGGACACTTGATAGCCTCGCCGCTACCTCATCCCCCGACAACGCCCACCCATTGTTCTGTTAGATCTTTACAAGGGTTTTCGAATGGCCGTGATTCCACGTCGTGGGTTGTGCGTTGTGCGATGTATCAGGGTATCACAATGGCGCTTTCGCTTGCTCGACTCCACTCGCTAATACACTCGCCCTATATTCTGGCTGGAAGACTGTACAACAAATGCACTTGAGTAAAGCGACATTATCGTAGCTTATCGATCGCCATCATGCCGGACCCTGTACTGATCACTCTCCCGACTGCGCCAACTTGGTCGCCTGTGATACGGCGCGACGCACCAAATGTCCGCGCTAGCCCAATCATTGGCCAAGAGCAAGAGCGCAATCGTATTATCACGGAAGCGATTGGCATCCCTGAAAGTGGATCTTTAAAGCGCATCGCTGAACACTCGATAAACGTCCTTAGTCTGGATACCAAAGACCGCAAGGTATTCCTCGAGGGACCAACCGTGGATCTCATTGCCCGTGGTATCGTCATCCGGAAAGACGTAGCTCTTCGTGCATTGATAGCTTCATGCCAAAAGGCCAATGATGCCGTTCAGATCACGCCCCAAATCACACGATTCCGCATACATGGTCACGCCGATGAAGGAAGTATCAAACGCTTGCTTGACGTATTCACTACATCCAAGCTTCTTGGCCTTGATCGCGTTGACCTTGTGTCCGGTAATCTTCGCAACGATGTACTAACATACCAAGCGTGTTTAGTTCTCGGCATCCACTACACTCACTCTGCACCTCTCCTCGGCACCCTTCGCGCGCTCGTATCATCTCGACTTCTCAGTATTAGCGAGCTCGAGATGTTGGTGCGTCGCTTCCCTCCCACAAACCCTTTATTTAAGCATACTGCCAAAGAACTCTGCCGCAGAAGGTTCAAGAAGCAGATACCTAACATTGCTGAATTCGAAAATTGGCTGAACAAAGAAAGCCAAGAAGGACTGAAAAAGACCATGGCGGCATGCGACAAAGTACACAAGATGACAAGGCAAGCAATCACTCGGAGAAAGTGCGACTGGAGGAAGGATGCTGTGCTACGTCTGTGGGGTGAGGATGTGGATGGGGTTTGTGTTGAGGAAGAGGCCGAAGACGACATGGAGCCGGACAAGATCAAACGACGAGACTCAAAGTTACTGGAGTAGAGCTCTTAGAACTATCATAAGCGACTGCTGGGCCTGGTTAACGGGCATATAATGCATGGTTAAGCTCAGTAGTGATTGACGATGTGTCGCTTCTTGCATACCCTAAACAAGCATTGTTATCCCTTTCTTCGCGGGAATGCTGTATTGCTAGGTTACAATACCCAACGGTCTTGAATACATGAATGTAGTCTGCTATCACATGCGCTTGTCCATCCTGCGCCACTGAGACTATCTAAGAGCCATGGGCGTGTGCCCGCCCAAAGAAGCTCCGGTGTTCCACAGCGGTGCTGTAGGCGGGGCATCAACGCTCGCCTGTGGATGACTGGGAATACCGGGCTCTCACGGTAACGCACAAACCGTACGCACGGCGCGCCATGCCGGGCTGACGAAAAGGTCATTCATGATACGGTCTCATGTGCCTACTCAGGGTAAACCATCTTTCTCCCGACACCGCCGTCTACAACGATCTCCTGACCAGTGACAAACTCGTTGCCTATGATGTACTCCACCGCCTTCGCAATATCCTCCACTTTACCTACTCTGCCAGCAGGATGCCAGTCGACGTCGGCCTTTGAAAGACCCTCTTCCCACTTGGTTTGACCTTCATCTCCAGCTTTACTTTCGTTGGCGACGTGAATCCATCCAGGGATGATCGCGTTCACCCTGATCTTGTGACGATGGCCTAGCGATACTGACATAGACTGCGTCAACCCCAACAGTCCAGCTTTGACAGATGAGTAGGCTTCGTGGTCAGATTCGGATTGATATGCGCGCGTTGACGACATGTTGATGATTGTACCAGGTGAGCTTGGAGTAGAATTTCCAGCAGCGAGAAGCGGAACGCATAGCCGGCTGAGCATGAACGGTGCAGTGAGACCGATCGCAACCTTCAAGTCCCACTCTTTTTCCATGTCTTCCCCTTCGGCTTCCATGCTGCGATCCTCCGATATTGATAGGTCTGTCGGGAAAGCATTGTTGATCAAAACGTCGAGCTTGCCATCAAATTTCCGCTTGACTTCTTCGACAGCCGTTTTCAACTCCGTTCGCTTGCTGAGGTCACACTCAAGCGCAGACCAGCTTTGCTTTCGCCCGTTTGACCATTCTTCAGCTCGAGTTCTGACATGCTCCAGCTCTTCTTTATTGGAATCCAGAATGACGACGTCATGTCCAGAGCTCAGCAGCTGTCTGAACAGCCCGCGTCCGATACCCCTGGCACCACCTGTCAGGAGGACTTTGAGATGCTGCGGAGCCGCGCTCATTATGATTGGCCAGTAATAGCAGACTGGGATGAAGGGTAGATGTCGTGAGCACGGAAGTTCTGCTAATGGTCGCTGTCTTTAATTTACTTTCATTAACGGGCTGCCGTGGGTTCGCGAAGCCATGACGTCATGACCAAATCTTCCCGCGCGAAAATTCCGCGCTCATTTCTTCTGGCGCCTACAGCCCGTTGCTGCTGCGAATTTATCCTCGGAAATTAACGATCGGCAAGAGAGGGAAAACGGGATATTCTCGAGAAGACCGGTGGGATGCAGGATTGTATCTTCGGCGATATTGTGGAGTTCAGCATGTCAATTTTCTGAGAACAATGGACGCTGAGCCGCCTTTGAACGGGTCTTCTCCAGTGACTGCCCAGGTCCACGGATGCGTCCTGTCGAGATACTTGGCCTGCACAAAATGCGAAAGAGATGCGAACCACCCTACCAGCTAGGCAACGAAGACCCTACCACGCGGCATTCATCAAACTGCGAGGTGTGAAATCACGTGATGCAACCATTGGGGAAAGTCATGGGTATGTACTGTGCTCGCACTCTAAAGCCCTATATACATGAACGTTTACTTACAACCCCGAATCGATTTGATTCAGGACCACTTCAGAAGTATAAGTATCCCAATCATCGCAAAGTTGAAACTGCTCATCCCCAAATGCCTGCTTCTGGATATCCTCTGGTCTCTCCAAGATCTGCATGAAAAGCCCTCCACTAACGTGCCAAGCGAGATGGCAATGCAGGGGCCATGCACCTGGATTGTCCTGCACGAATTGTAGCACCAGGTACGAAGGCTCAACCGTGCCGGTGGTATTTCGTGCATTCTGCATCTGGTGGACATCGCGGCGCAGCGTGTTCTCCGGGTTTGTCACAACGCCGTCCCACTCGCCGAAGCCTTCAGCCAGGATGTGGTAGTCATGGCCGTGCAAATGCATGGGATGGCCGCCAATGAGACCGTGGTTGACCATGTGGATGCGGACATGCTTCGCACCGGGGAATTGGTACACGTTCCATTCAGGGTTGAAGTCCGACTCGTTACGCTTTGCCTTCAGAAGCGTTGGCTTGTTGTAGTTGCCGTGGTAGGTGCTGTTGTTGAGATACCAGATGAAGTTGGTGCCATTGGAGCGGAAGTCAAAGTCCACACGTTCGACATGGTCAGGCTCTTCCAATGGGACCTTACACAGCGGGATACCCTGGGTGATGGGGTCGTTCTTGCATTGCTCGAGTTGTTCCTTCGTGACATCAGAGGTAGACTTGGGGATAGCGTCGGTACTGGCATTCTCGTAGTATACTGCCGCAAGAGCGTTGGGTGAGATGCCGTCGGTGAGTGTACAGCGAAAGCCTTGAGCAAGTTGAGAGCGCATCCAGAAGGTATCGCTAGGCTTGCCGATAGCTTCGACTATAACATCAGTGCGCTGACCGACGGCAAGCGTGACGACGTTAGTCGTGTACGGCTCGACCGGGATGTAGTCTACGGCGATGACTTTCAGTTTGTGCCCATCGATGCTGAACTTCTGGTTGCCTTCAGCGCCTGTGTTGATGAGGCGTAGTAGATGCTTCTTTCCGGACTGGAATTTGAACTTAGAGATACCTGCATTAGGCGTGCAAGGCAAGGTCGTATTGGCACATGGGTAATTCATTCTTCCATTGATGAGGTTGTTGTTGGAGGGCGGGAATTGGCCGTTCATAGTGCCTTCAACAAGGGTGTAGTAGTCAGCATGGAACCAATCTTCGAGAATGATGGGGCCGATGTCGATGTCGTAATCCTCGTGTTTCGGCCCATGTATGACCATGGGGCCGTGAGCGCCACCGGAGTATTGCGCACTGTAATGGCCTAGAAAGTTAGCTTTTGCGCATCTCAGTGTAGTACTGAAGAACTTACTGTGATACCAAGACGTCCCGTAGCGGTCGGCCCGGAAAAGCATCTCATAGTAACCGCCGTTTGGAGTGATCGGGCATTGACTGACCGCAGGTACACCGTCATACCAGGTACTTTCTGTCTGGAAAAGGCCGTGGGCATGAAGGGTAGTACCCTCATCAGTCAAATCATTCGTAACTCTCCACAGGATGCAATCACCCCTGATGCGGTCAGTTGAAGCATTACAATGTTGTAAAACAATTCATACCAGTTGGCTTCGATTAGAGGACCGGGGAATTGACCATTGACCGTGAGTCCGTTTCTGGTAACACCATCTGGAGCGATCGTTTGATAAGCCACGTGAAGATCGTATGTTCTTGTCACGCCAGTGTCAGGCATGGACGGACAAAGAAGATCAGCCTTTGGCTTGGAGGCCGCAGAAGCGATAGGCTCGAGCGTTCCGGTAGCAGTCGGTCCGAAAGTGGTAGACCCTGTGGCGTTTGCATAACCGTATGGATAACCAGATACTGTAGGGTGGAGAGAATGTGTTGATGGAAGCCTCGTTGGTTCAGATGTATATGCGCCATCAGGATTACTGCCCGGGAGACCATTTGCCGGGAGATGGGGAGAGTCGATCAAACCCCATTGTGAGTTACCACATTGTTCGACATTTGGAAGTGAGCCCTTCAGATGGTCGGTGCCCTTGGGGACCCAACACGGTTCTTCGTAGTCATGTTTGGCGGGCCCACCGTATTCGTAGGGCGTCGAAGGCTGGGGAGGAGCGTACGCTTCCCCATGTGATGGTTTACCCGGCCACTCGAAAGGGAGAGGCACATCGTTGTATGGATTGTAGTATGGCCCACCATGCCCATGAGAGTTGGTCGTGGGCCGTGCCGTAGCGTATTCAGTGACTGTAGCTGTGATGACCTGGCAGATGGACGCGGTGCTGAATTCAGAAGGGGTGGCTGCATGGAGAACAGATGACAATGAAGCCGTAGCGGCAAAGTAAGGAGCGTAGGCTACCATAGTTGTAGCAACAAAAGTTGGCCGTATGATTGTTCCCGAGGGACCACAACAGGCTTGACTGCGCAAAGAAGGAACGACTGTGTCGAGAAGCAGGACACTGCATCTGAAGGTATGCTGAAGGCCATGTTATATGGGATTCCATGACAGTATGCCAAATACCCAACGTTCTATGTTTGGCCGCGGGGCTTAAGAATTCGATGAAGCGAGCTATGTGGCGGGAAAAAGTATGGACCGTGAATCTGAATATGGTCGAGACACCCGAGGCGAGGCGAGGCGCAAGAAGCAACGTGCTGTAAGGCCTCCATGTGTGGATCGGGCAACCAGTATAGATAATAGATCATGAGAGCTCAGCGTTACTTTTCAGCCCAACCCGCGTTCCCCTTGGCGTCGTTCGGACACCGAGGCGGGAGAAGGAGATGAAATAAGCCACTCAATGCTCGGCATCATCGACACTGCGAAAAGATCTGCAGACGCAGCATCCGCGGCATACATGCCGACGCCGTTTTCATGTTTAAGGTTTTCCCGAAGATATGCAGGTACGTGTCGGGATCTGCCAAGCGATTCGATTGCACATCATCAACGTATCCACTGTGATGGTGGCATTGCCAACATGTTTGCGAATCAGCTTTAAGGGATGTGGGGCCACATGTGGTATCTGTGTCGCGTTATTCTGAATCAGCTACCGTATTTCAATACCTCGAAATGCGGGACTCACAGCCTAATCTTTTGTTGTTGTGATTGTTCGTATTGTGCTGCCGTGAGTGCCGTGTGCCTAGGTAGCCCAGGGACATGCTAAGCTCCCGAACTCACATGGAACCGTTCGCAATAGTGGCTCAGACGAAGCAGGCGAC